CTTTGCGGAGCAGGAGGGGCCGGTGTGACCAGGAGCGGCGCGGGGCACCGGCGATCCGGGAGCCGGAGCGGAGGCCGCAGGGCAGTGAGCAGCGGTGCTGAAGGGAAGGAGGCGCCGTGCTCGGCCGCTGCCCTCTGCGCACCCGCACCCCGTCCTGGGCGGGGGTGGAGTGACCCGCTGCCCGCGTGATCCAAGCGGTGCTGGGAAAGGGAGGCAAACCTGGGCTCAGGGAGGGACAAGTGTCACCTTAAAGAGAAGTAGAGAGTAGCAGGGGGAAGGTCTCCACCTCGGAGTCTTCCTTCTGCACGACTCTTGTTAACTCAGTAACTACATTGAGCAGCGCCTCCAGTGACGCCTGTGCTGGTGTTTCACTTCTCTGGGCTCCTCGGAGTGTGTTTTCTGTCTGCCCAGTCATTTCTCTTTATTTATTTGTGTTTGGGTCTCCGCATGCAGATGCTGCAGTGATTTCCAGGGCTGCAAGTGCAGGTGGAGGCTGGGAGGTGCCTGTTGCAGCCGAACAGCCCGCAGACAGTGAAATCTAATGTACCACCTGTAGACAAACCTTCCCCCAGGCCATAAATCACCACCGCGAGGTTGCGTTGGTGGTTGATGTTCGTCCTGAATCAGGCAGGTGGCTCTGGGCTGGCGTGGGGCATAACGAAGAGCAGAGCCTGGCCCTCTGTCATTGCGGCAGTGCTGGCAGAACCTGCTGGTTTCTCACTTGTTCCCATAGAGATGTGAGCACATGTAAATTGGCAGCTGAGTATCATAAGCCTGACACTTGGATTTAATTAACTTCACATCTGTTTGAATGTCCAAAGCGGCTGAAAGGGCCCCAAGCCTGGGCCAAAAGGCAGCAGGAAATTGAGGTCAAGGCTCCAAAGCAATTTTCAGAGCCCGGCACACAGAAAATCAGTTAGACCCAGACCAAACCAAGTCTGCTGGATGCCCTTTTCTGGGTCAGCTTCCCTCTCCTTGGATTCCTGTCTCCATCCTGAGGAAATCGGTGAAAGGAACATTGGAGAATCCTAAGGCAAAGCTGCAGCGAGTAGAGCACAGTGTGGAATATTTTGAGCATTATTTGAGAAGAGAAAATGTAAGGATATGCATATGAGATCATACCTTGAGTTGTATCAAGCACCTAGGCTGAATGAGGGGAACACCTGCCAGACATATTAAGACATGGTATTTCTTAAAAAAAAAAAAAAAAGATTGCTCCAAAAAGCTTGAATTTAAGACTTTTTTTATATATAGTTTTAAGCATTGAGGTAGAAGGACAAAGCCCCGCGTTTTGTATTTGAATTTATGCAGAAGGACTTTTAAGCTGGCACAAAGCCTGTTTGAAATCATTTATGGCTGCATGTGGGTCCAGGGGCCTATTTGCCTGAATTCAATTGCAAATTAGGGTCTAAAAATGTTAAAAGGAAATGGCCAAGCTAAAACAGTTCTTCATAAAACAGCTACACTTGCTTTGTTTCATAATGACTGAGATGGATTTAGTTATAAAAAAATCTCTGGTTTTAACTGATAACACTCTCTGTTTACTGTTTGAGCCATTGGGGAAAATGGAAATAGGTTAGTCAGGACTGCTTAGAAACAGTGTTTGTTCCTGCATACGAGTTTGGTGCAAAAAAATGCCCTAGATTGCTGATGCTGCAGAGAGTTGGTAGAATCTGGCCAAAATAATCCATGCAACTGATTTTTTAAAAAAAGATGGAAATAAGTAATGTAATTTTCTTATGGGGGATTTTTGGGAGAATCTCATGCTCCTCTAATTGCTACTTCTTGTTTATTTATTTTTTTTATTCCATTCATCCTCTGCAATTGCAATGAGAATTTGGGAGCCAGCCCATGTCAGCCGTGGGATCTGACTGCCTCAAATCCACAGTCCTCCCCCCTTGTTGGGGAGGAAAGGGTGACTGGCTTCTGCAATTACCGGCATCAGAACCATGAAAGTGGAAGTTTGAAACGTGAATTTGGAGGGTGGCTGCCACTCTTCTTTGCAGACAATTCCCACTGAGGCCTGTGGAAACTCATTGGGTGGGGGAAGGCTGCTGCAGAATCTCATTTATTTCCCTGATTCACCGCAGCTGCTCCTGTGGAGATGGAGCGCAGGAATCAGTAGCTGAAATGAGAAGCTTTTATTTCATCAGCAGCTTCTCAGGAGACCACGACATAAGATGTGAGAGGGATTTTACCATACTTAAAAGCCAAAGCAAAGCCTTCCCATGGACCCACGTGCTGGAGACGGAGAGTAACGGTGTCCCTGCAGATTCTGGCACTGGCTGTTGGCTACCAGGCTGCAGCAGGGCAGCTTCAAATCAGCTACAAAACTCAGGGATGATCTAGTAAAGGATGGGAAGAAGTTGTGGGTGGCTGTGGATGGAGCAGTGAGTGATCTTGGCTTCAGGGGCTAGAGAAGCAAAATTTCAGACCTCAGAGCTGATTTCTGGTCATTCAAAAACACACTTGCCAAGCAGGGACCAGATGTAGCTGCCTTTCTAGGTAAAGGAGTTTGCCTGCCTGTAGTCTCACTGCGGGGAGATGGTGGCTGGAGAGCACCACTGAACAACCTGGTGTTTCACTGGAGGGCAAACAGAGGACATTAAAAGAAGTGTCCTTAAATTCAGATGAATTTCTCTGCCTTCAGCCTGAAGGTTTGTAAGCTGGTTCAGAAAACCAGAGAGTGTTTCTGGGCAGGGTGCTGCGTCGGATGTGAGTGGTTGGAGCTGGATTAACTGGTAGTGTGAGGCCAGAGAGATTCCCAGGCCCTTGGTGTTGCAGCGGCAGTGGGGAGGAAGGCAGCTTGGCACTGCTTGGCTCGGGAGGCGCCGTGTGGAGGGCTGGCAAGGCAGCTCAGCTCTAGGGATTGCCTGTTGCTGCTGCTGGGTTGTCCCTTACTGCTAATTCCAAGGAATCTCTGGGTAGGCTGTGATTGATTCTGAACTTGATTTATTTATAAAATCTTTATTTCTTGTGCTGGTCTCCGTGCCATTTTTTAAATGCATTTGGCTGTCAAGGTGTCTAAAACTGGAGAATTGCTTTTGGAGTTTATCAGCTAGTCCATCCATCTTTGGCATTTATAAGCCATTTATACCATTATATCACAAGGGAGAGAACTTGCAGCTACCTCAAGGAAAACTTCTTCATGGCACCTCCAGCAAGGACAGCCCATGGGAGCAGGGCTTACCTCTCTGAGGAGTTCCTGAGTTCCTTCCTTATTTTGTGAAGATGGCCATGGGGGGATTTTCTTCTCCTTGCAGGCAGCCTGGGGAAGGTGGCTGTGAGCAGGGCTGATTTCCTGGGGCTCCAGCTGGCCCCAGATGGGCCGCTGGCTCCTCTCGCTTGCACGTCGGGTGGTTTCTGCTGCCACCTTCCTGGTGTGGTTGCCTCTTGCCCCTCTGTGGCTGGGAGCACTTGGCTGTCTGGGATCTCTGCTTTGTCTAGTCTTAGCTCCCTCACACTCAAGGAAGGAGAGTATTTCTTAAAAGAAGCAATTCTGGCTTTGGGAAACGGAGGCCAAGAATGGAGATCTCTGTCTGTCCAGGTAGGTACAGCAGACACTGCCTTGCCGGTCTGATGGACAAGAATATAAACTCTCAGGTCTCACCTCTTCCTCTCTCTGCCAACCCTAAATGATTTGAGTTCCTTTCCTTTGGAAACAGGAGCTGTAAATCTTGGATCCTTCAGCTTGTGCCTCTCCATGGCCAGCGCAGACATGGCTGGGCACCGAGGAGCCGTTTGATGGTTGTTCCCAGGCCACACTGACACTGCTCTGCCAGGAGGGAGATGGGGAAGAGATACTTCTGCGATTACTGTGACAGGTCCTTTCAGGACAACCTTCACAACCGGAAGAAACACCTCAATGGAGTGCAGCATCTCAGGGCCAAGCGACTCTGGTATGACATGTTCCGAGGTGGGTACTGCCAGTCGTCTGCTGCTTCCTTTCTGAAACCAGGGAGGTGACAGACGAGGCTGGAATGCATGGAGGAGGAGAGAAAACTGAATCAGCACAAGTAATTTATATTCAGAATTGTGCGTGTCAGTGAATTCTAGGCTCGCTGTCTCAGAGGCAGAACCTTCATGTAACTGGATCTGGAAGTGGAAGTTTTTGACGGCAGCTGGGACTTCAGATGAGGTGGAAAAGCTTAGGAGATTCCCTCTCAGAGCAGGAGCTGCAGAGGAGGGTTTCCTGGCAGTAGTGGCAAATCTGAGACGGGAGACCTGGCAAAGCTAAATGAGCTACAGCTTGTGGAGGCAAGTTAGGTGCTCTCTGCAAACCAGAGGCAATCTCTGATGTGAGGTGCAGGGTGGGGGTTGTGGAGTCCTTGCCTTTCTGTTGTGCTGCTTTTCTCCCTTGGGTGGGGGTAAAGCATCAGCAAACAAGCTGATATTTGCAAGCCAGCGAAAGCTGAAAACAGGGAGTGCAGATAGGGACTGTTAAATATTGTGGTGTTTCTTGTTTTGTTTTTCTCCTCTTGCCCACTTTTCGCTTGCTTTCTTGGTTATTGTGGTAAATGACTTTCTGTGAGGCAGCTGACCCGTGTGGGACCATATCGTGATATGCTGAGGGGTTAGCACGCAGGAGACCTTTACACTGTTCCGTGGTTTGACCTTTGTCTCCCCCAGATGCTGCTGCTATTCTGCAGGAGGAGCAGAGCAAGAAACCTTGTCGGAAGTTCCTGCAAACAGGTCAGTTCTTTTGAGGTAGAAATAACTGCCTGAGTTACAGCAGCTCCTCTGTGGGCTCATTCAAGGTTCTTCTGAAGAACCGTGGGGTGTGTGTGTGTGTGCCTGTCTAGAAGGGAGTGAAGAGGGCTTGGGCTTGTAGCCTGTGGGCAGGGGTAATGACTCGGTCTCCATTTGCCTGAGGAGGCCCTTGTGTGTGTGGCTCTTACACAGCTGTGTGGCTTCTGTTCCAGGACAGTGTGATTTTGGATCCAACTGCAGGTTCTCCCACATGACAGAGCAGGACCTGGAAAAGCTGAGTGCCCAGGTGCAAGGTGAGTCCTAGGACAAGAAAATGTCCCGGGCTCTCTGAGGGAGTCTCTGCAGGCAGCATGGGCTGCAAAGAGGTGCAGGAAGGATTGTGCAGCAGGAGCCTGTAGCTTGTGCTGTGCACATGCAGCAAGCTGAGCATGATCCCTCCTGTCTGCCTCTCGCTGCCGTGCGAGTCCGTGGCACGGCTGCAAGTGCTGCAGCTTTCCAGATGCTTTCTGGTCTTTAGCTGCTGGCGGAGACGCAGGCATAAAGCAGCTAAAGAACAGAGTAACTTGACAGCGTGCATGTGAAGCAGAGTGGGCTTTCTGAGCCCTCAGGGTTTTGCTCAATTAGGGAATAAAAACTGTCAGCAGTAGAGGGCACTGGCACCTCATTTCCCCTGAAATTTATAGACTTGATTTTCTGCTATCCTGCTATTCTTACCTGGAAACTAGTGCTTGCACTCTTGGGAAGAGTTAGACAGCTATCAGGTGGATTCTTCCGAGAGGAGGATATGAGGTCGTGGATCCAGAAAGAGCCTCTGTTTGTGTGGCTTAGGATGGATCTGAAGTTTGGGCAGAAGATGACAGGCATCTTCCCTGCCCTGAGTCTGGGGAGGTCTTTTGAACTTTTGTTCTTTGTCATGGGAGGACAGCCTCCTTGGCCTAAAAGGAAAGTCAGGTCTGTTTTCAGCATAGTGTTTGCTTCTGTGGCTGGAGAAACCATGAATGGGGTGTTTGTGAGAGCTTATCATCGAGCGGTAGAGGGTGGAAGGGACCCCTGGAGATTGTGTGTCCAATCTTTCTGCTCCAAATAAAGTCACCTGGAGCAGATTGCTCAGGACAAATGGAGACTCCACAGGCTCTTTGGGCAACCTGAGTATTTGACCACCCTTAGGATTAAAAAGAGGAAAAAAACCCACCTTTTTCTTGCACTTAAATGGAATTTTTTGTATCTCAATTTATGCCCATTGCCTCTCCTCCTTTTAGAGAGCACCACTGAAAAGAGTCTGTCTCTATCATCTTTAGTCCCAGATACTTATACACATTGATAAGATTTCTTCTCAATCCATCTTGTCTCCAGGGGAAATGTCGCCAGCTTTCTCAGCCTCTCCGTTAATGACAGGGGCTCCAATCCCAGTCATCTTCACGGCCCTTTGCTGGACTCACTCCAGTGAGTCTGTGTCTTCCTTCTACTGGGTGGGCTGAACACTGGGCATAGCCCTCCCTTGTGGCCTCGCCAACGTTGAGCAGAGAGAAGGAATCACCTCTTTGGACCTTCTGGCAATGCTCTTCCTAGTGCAACTCAGCTCACGAGCTCATTTCTTGCCTGTGCGCCCGATCAAAGCCAAATGTTGTTTGCCAGTAGCCTGGCAAGAGCAGCCTGTTGAGAGTGTGTGTGTGTGTGTGTGTGTGTGTGTGCGCGCATGTGGATGATTGGAGGTGTGTGGGTTAGCGATTCCTTCCCGGCCTTTGGTGGGATTAGGCTGGAGGAGGGAGGAGGAAGATGCTACAAAACTATCCTGGTCCTCACAGCTGCCAAATCAGTATGTGAATCCCCAGGGCAACTCCATGATTGCTGAATAAAACTGGCAGTCAATGAAACCCGTCTAGCTGGGCCACGTGGGAAGCGGAGCTCTCCGGTGAGCCCCTCCAGAGGAGGCAGTGCCAGTCCTGCCATTCTCCCTGCTGCTTCTGCAGAGCCTCTCCCAGAGCCTTTTGCAGAGCCTAAGTGCTGGCTCCAGGGAAGTGGCACGGGAAGTTGGGCTCTTCCCAGGAACTTGTGGAGTTTCCAGTCATCGAAGGCTGGTTGTTGCAGGGAAAAGGAAAGGTCTTGGAGCGGATCGGAGCTGCAGGCGAGGGCGCTGGCAGGTGCTTCCACTCTTGGGCAGGTTTTTTTGCCAGCTACACTTGTCATTGATTATTGACTCCTGTCAGATGGGTCGGATGTAGTGGAGAATTGGCTAGTGAGAGTGCTGATTCCTGGGAGATTATTTGGAAATCTTGTTTGGCTACTTGCCTTTTATAGTACCAACTCAAACATTTAATTAAACGATTACACTTGACGGAGCAGTGGCCAGGGGACAGCAGGGTGTCTCATTCTTGGCTGCGCTAGCTAGAACCGGAGCACCCGGTATTTGAGTCGCGTCCTGCTCACCTCTCACACGGTGCTGTTCCATGGGGGTCCTGCATGAGGCACACGAGCTGGCTGGGGATCACACAAGCCTCAAAACGTGCTCAGCTGAGCCCACGGAGAGCCCGATGGGCTTTGGTGGAGAGAAGAGCTCGGGGGGAGGTGGTGGAAAAGAGGTGGAGTCCGTAATGTGGTAGAGCAGCCAGAAGGAGCAACTGCAAAGTGCCAGGGTGCCCTTAGATGTGTCACGAAGCCTCTGTGCCATTCCTGGAGCTGTTGAGGCACCTGTTTCTCAGATGGCAAGGCTTAGGGTGGGATTTTTGGAAGATGCGTTGGTGGCAGGAGGGATTACAGGTTGCATTAGTCATACAGGAGACTGTTGATCCTTGCAGCCTGTCTGTCAGCCACCTCTGTAAAGGATGTCCTTATATCCCTTAGCATCTAGTCCTGGTGTTTCTGCACTACAAGGCACCACCGGCCACTGCCAGTGACATGGTGCAGTGCAGGGGACACCAGCGACCTGCTTCGAACTGCCTCTTACTGAATCGCAACGTCCTCAGGGATTTCTTGTCCGGGTGCTGTTGGGAGCCTCCGCGCCTGGGTGGTTCTGGCAACCTGGGACTGGGATCTGGGATGAGCTGTGCCTGTGAGGATGGGGAGCCTGGAAGCTCCACCGCCCTCTCTCCCCTTTGTGCAGAGTCTGGAGTGACCAAGTGACCAAGGTGGTGACGCTCTGCCTGCAACAGGGTAAAAGAAGGCAGTTTCCTAGTGGGTCACTACCTTGTTTTTAGCGTTTGGCCATTTTAATGCAGGCAATTCACAGTGCTGTTTGCGTTTGCCTTGTGGGTTAAATGGGAAAATTTCTGGGCCATTTGTTGCTTTAAATTAGCTCATGACTTGCCCTAATTGGGCTTTGGCAATTCTGTGGCCCCTGCAATACACTCACGAAGAAGCAATAGTTTCCACCTTCGGCAGGGAGGGAGGCATGTTCCCAGCTACGACTGCATCTGTGCATTAGTCTTTTGCATCTGCTGCATCATTCATCAGTGAGACGCTTCCAGACTGTCATTTTAAGTACAGTCATGTCAGGAAAGTCATTGTAAAATTAGCATCTGCTTGCTTAAAGTTATTGGCTCCCCACTAACCTGCGTCACTTGTGGCGGTAGTAGTGACACAAGCCACCCTCTTTGGTTGGTCTGGACAGGCAGAGGTGCCAGGGGAGAGCAAGGGCCCGGCTCGGTGAGAACGAGCCAGATATTTGTGTGATTCGCAGTACGTGAGCAACCCTGTTGGAGGAGAGTGGTGTCGCCTGGCTTAAGTTGGCTATAAGATGGATAAAGAGGGCTCTTGCAGTCAAATGCTGCTTCTTGCCTATGGGGCAGTGACTTTGGAAGCCTCTTGTGTTGAGAGCCTCATCAAGGTCTCTTCTGAGAGCTCCCCAGGAGATCTGGAGGAGTTTGGACTCCCTGGGGAGGGAGACACAGGATTGCACGTAGAGGACGCCCGGGTGACCTGCTCAGTGCTGAAGACCAAGGTTCTGTCCTTGTTCTTTCAACATACAGTGGTGCTTCACTCAGGAAGATGCATCTTGATCTGCTGGGTACCTTGAGAACCTGACACCCTTTGCAAGCTTTCCTTTATTTTTTATTATTATTATTTTTTTTTAATGGAGCAAACTTATGCTGAAAGTGGCATGAGGAGAAAAGATATATCTAGATATATCTGAATTTCCACTCGGGTGTCATTAGAGAGGCACCCCATTGGCTACAGCCGCTCTTCAAATCGGCTGTAACTGCACTCTGAAGCAAACACCGCAGCGAGAGGGAGCAGACGGGGCCTTCGCACCTGCCGGGCGGCTGCTGCTGCAGCCCGGCTGCCCGCGCTGCTGCTCGTGAGCCTGGGTTATCTAGCAATGTTCAGGGAACATCTCCAGTCCTGGCGAATTTGGTAGTCCCAGCAGCATGTGTGCTTCAGAGGAAGATGAAGTGAGAGATCTGCCTCTTTTGTGAGCACGTGTCAAGGAGGGTAGAGCCAGCGCTTCCGATTTCTACTCCTGTATTTCTCTGCCAGTGGCTTTGGAGGAGGAACTCGTGGATCTGAGTGAACGGGTAGCCAGCTGGATGTGTTTCTAATCCAAACACCTGGCCCTCATCTAGGCCAGCACCAATATGGCCTCCTTCCACTGCAGGCAGTGAGCTCAGGAGGTGCTGAGAGAGGCAGTGGGGGCTGCTCCAGGCTCTCGCCTGCCCCTGCTGCAGCACCTCAGGGACTGGTGACCTGGGTCCCAGCTCTGAAGGGAGACACTTCAGTAGAGTCTGCTCTGCTCTGCCCTGGGGCGTAGAGTGGGATGAAATGGAAATGCCAATAGGAGGTAAAGAGGGGAGAGCTTTTCCCCTGTGATGTCTTATCTTCTTGAAGCACCTTGTGGCCATTTGTCCACCCACAGAGATAGGAAGTGCCTTGGTCACTAACTAGTTGGAGAAACCCGGGACAAGGCTGCTGGGGGCCAAGTATTGGTTTTGCCTGCCCCGAATAGCTTTGCTGGGGCTTTTCTCCTGCAAGTGAACGTAGGAGACGTGAACCAGCCTATCTCCAGCCCGGATCCTCATCCCTGGCTTGCAGAGCAGCACGTGGGCCGCAGCAGCCAGCCTCCTCCGTGGTGGCAGGGCCAGCGTTGTCACCCCGCACCACAGCAGCAGATGAGAGGGCCAGATGACGAATTATCCATCTCCGGCTGCTCATTGTGCAGCGCGTGGCCGCCATCCTCATTAATATTCAACAGGCAGATGAATAATTGGTTGCCACTGCTAGCATGAAGTGATCCCTCACTCTGCCCAAGTAATATTAATTTCACACCCTGTCTGGAAATGTCTAATATTTTGCTTACGCATGTGATACATGCCGGAGAGGTGGGCAGCAGGCTCCTGGTGGCAGTGGCTGCAGGTGGCTGTCGCTAGCGGTGGCACTGTCCGTGGGCCCATGTCCGAATGAGATCAGGTTCCCCCAGGGTGCTTCTCCCTGGAGGGTTGGAGGACTGGGGCACAGGAGATCGAGACACACCTGCTTTAACTTCCTTTTTATTTGTACAAGTGTGTCTGGGTTGGTTTCTTCTTCTTTTAACAAGCATCGTGTTCCCTTTTGCTAGGTGGGAACTTTCCAGCAGACAGGAGATTTAACACCACCAAGCATCTCCAGCCAGCCCTGCCTGACATGTGGTCAGGAACACGGCCTTGTCATTTGTGTCAAGGACAAGTGCCAGCCCCTGGGCAGTCCCTTCCTGCCCTCCCAGTGGTGTCAGCAGGGACTCTGCACTGGGGACTCTGCTAGCTGGACACTGGGGGAGGGATGGGGCCTCTCCTCACTGACTCTGTGCTGGTCTGCTGGGAGAGGACAAGGACAGGGCACCTGAGGGCATCTGCCCGCCTGGCAGAACAGCCCCCTGCAGCCCATGGGGATGTGTAGGGGTCCCAAGCCTGAAAGCAGCTGTGGCTGCTGGACGTTTTTGTTGGTCACCCCATCTCCTGGGAGGCGCAGGGGTTTGGCAATGCGCGTGGAGCCTGCGCGGGCAGACAGACGTTCCCTCCCTCCTCGCTGCGCTGCCCCGTGCGCTGGGGCTGCTGCTGGGGTTCTGCACCTTGCCCGAGCAGGGCTGAGCGCAGCCTCATGCTGGGCCTCTGCAGGAGCTGAGGCCCTGTCACACAGCGTGTGCCTTAAACGGGTTTGACAGCGTCCCTGAAATCCAGTGTGTTGGTCGCACCGTGCTTGGAACCTTTCCGACTCTTGCGCCTGCCAAGTCCGCATCGATCGGCGCCGCCGTCCCTGTCACTCCCCTGTCGCTGGGCCGTGGTCTCAGGGTGCTCCCTGCCAGTTGGAGGGACAGGGCTTTGGGCAGCAGTCAGGGCCCAGGGCCAGCAGAGCCTGCGTGCCTCAGGCAGGGATGAGGATGATCAGCCCAGGGTGGGATCAGGCTGCCCTCGGTTAAGTGCCTGAACTGCCGCCCTGGTTGCTGGCTTGGTTCTCTTTGCCTGGCCCTGGCAGCCAGGAGAGGCCAAGCATCAGATGGCGGCTGGGCAGGGGAGGAGCAGCAGCTACGATGAGCAAATTGCACACTCACAGCAATAAGAAACTACACGGGGTAATGAGCAAGGGGTTTAATGGAGTGAGAGGACTGCCGGGCGAGTGTCTGATAACCCTTTCTCAACTAGGGGAGCAGCGACTGAAGGAGCTGCGTCAGGAAGGAGCAGATGTCCCTCCTGGCACCATTGAGGACTGGCTGGAGAAGAGAGCAAAAAGACTGAGTGCAGCTCAGAATAACAGGTACCAGTGTCTGGAGTGTCCTCGCAAGGGCTGTCTGCCCCTTGCGCTCGCCCGCGCGGGGATCCCGCCAGAGGCCACAGGAGAAAGGGGGCAGGAGATCAGAGCCTGCTGCCCACCGTGGTGGCACCTTGCTGGCTGTCGTTAACCCTGAGCCTGCCAGGGCTCTGCCCCTGCTCTTGGCACGGGTGCAAATCTCGTCCCGAAGCCCAGTGTGGGCACGGGTCGCCCCATGTGCTGGGCGAGGAGCCCGGGAGCGCGGGCAGAGCGGTGCTCCAGCGCTCTGGGCAGAGCGCTCAGAGACGCCTGGAAGGACAGGGCCACCGTGATGCTCAGTTATGAATGCCCCTCCGTCCAGTGACAGGAGCCTGGTCTCATCTGTTGACAGCTTCCCCATCCTCTGCGTGCGCTGTCTGCACATCTCTGCCAGTTCCAGCTTTCTCCTTTGCCAGTGAGAGGGTGGAATTAGCTCCTCCTCGTGGCGTTCGGACGCCTGCCGGTGCCTGCTGCTTTTTTGCTCACCTGACTGTGCCGCAGGCTTAATTGGATGACATTTGGGCAGGTGCCAAATCTCCCTTTTGTTCTCTTTCTGTTTGCTCCTGTCCTCTCTTGTGTTTGGTCTGGGCAGGATCTTCCTTCTGGTGCCTGTCTGGGCTTGTTGCTTTCAGCTCACTCCATCCATCAGCTTGGCTGCCCTTAGCCCTGCCGAAACGGTCCTGACAGCAGCCACCGTCCTACCTCCGTACCCTTCACTTGCCCTGTTCTGCTTGTCCTGCACCTGGGGACTCGCTCAGAGAGCAGCTCTACACTCAGCAGACTCACTAGTCCTTCATAACTGCGTGGTCTTTGCTTCCTTCATTCCCGGAAGCCCTGGAATTTCTCGGGTTGTTGCTTGTTACCAACTTCTCAGCACCCATAGGCACTAATGTGACCCCACTAGAGACCAGCTGCTGGCAGTAAAGGCTGCTCTGCCAGTGCGTGGCCGCCCCAGCATGTGTCTCCACCTGGTGCTCACCAGCCCAGACATTGCCCTTTGCAGCAAACGTGAAGAGGGGCTGCTTCAGTGGGGTCCCTGTTCCTTCTGCAAATATTTTTTAAGGGCAGGTAGCTCCCTGCCTTGTGCAGTCCTTGAGGTGCCTGAAATGCAGCCGATCTCTGACAAGATCTAGCACTGCTTTGGGGAGTACATGGCTGGGGAGGATAGAGCCCAGGTGCTACCTTCCCTGGCTGGTAACCTCAGGAAAGGCTGTTAGACTGCACGAAACAGCAGCAGGAACACTCTGCAGGAACACTCTCGGGAGCTGAAGGGGCGCTGGAAACCCAGTTCTGTCTTCTCTGGCAGCACCTAGCGGAAAGGATTCAAGTCGGGATGGAAAAACCTCTTGGAAGCACCGTACGCTCAAGGCACGGTGGAGAAGCTGCTGCTGCTGGTAACAAGCCGCAGGCTGTGAGCAGATCCAAGCATCTGCCCCTGCCTCGCGGGGAGTTTCCCGCTGCAGATCTGGCAGCGATCGCAGCGGGATCGCGGCGGCTGCGGGTTGGCAGCCTCTTAAAGGTGCTGCTTTCGGTGCCGTTCGCTGTTGGGCGAATGAGCCCCACGCGTGGCAACCTGCGTGGCCCTTCCCGCAGCCCCGCTTGCTCCGGGGATGATCTTCACCTGGAGGGCTCCACCTGATCCCTGTTCCTGAGGCCGTGCAGCACTGCTGCGTTCCGGACAGCTGGAGTGGGCTGGGAGGGAGTCAGCGAGGCTCTCGTAGTGATGGGGCTCTGCCAGGGCCCCACAGATTTTGTTTTTAAAGTGATGTCTAAGGGAAGCGGAGCACGTCAGCGCAGCCAAGCGCCCCTGCCATAACTGCCTTGGAGCCCACGGGCAATTTCAGCCACATTGAAATAGCGGGTGAGGGGCCGAGACCTTGAAGATACCAAGTTACTATAGCTTTCCTGAGGACGGAGGCGGGTAGAGCAGAGAGATCCCTCAAACGCCCCTCAGAACGTGAGGATTTTTGAGTTACCAGCAAATCCAAAAGGAATAGCCGTTCCAGATGCTCCAGCTGCCATTAAACTTTTTGACAGTGCTTGTGTCTTTGGGGGCCCCAGGGAGTTGACACCAGCCAGCGGCCTCACTTAGCTCTGCTGCTCGCAAAGCAGCCCCTTAATTGAGATAATTGAAAGCTGGGGCTCGTCGCCACGCGTCTTGTGCGGCCGCTGCCTCCTGCCAGTGGGCCGGGCCCCTGTGGACCCAAAGGGGTTGTCCTGCCTGCGAGGAAATCCTCCCCTCGGGCCATCCTAGCGGGGTGACTCGGCTCCGGAGCGTCTCGTGGGGGATAAGCGCCAGCCCCGATGACTTTGCGCTGCGGCGGGCGCTGGGGAGCCGCGGCGAGCGGAGCTGGCGTCCAGCCACCTCGCGGCTCTGCAGGGAGGAGGAGGGTGCCGCTTCTCCGGAGCGTTATGCAAAGGCATCTGATTAGATTTCTCCCGGCGTAACAATTAAAAAGATCCATCAGGATCGCTGGTAGAGACCCAAGGAGCCGGAGAGCTGCTGTCACCGCTTGCGCTAAAGGGAAAAAAATGAGCGTTCGCGTGCTGAGGAATTGATGGGAAAGGTCTGTTTCCCGCTGATTGAAACCTGCCCTGGCTGAGCACACTCCCCAGCTAGAGGCTCCCTGCTTTTTTGCACCTCTTCGTTCCTACGTGGTGCTTGCAGCAGCTTCAGGTAATTGCAGAGAGCGTAAGTGTCTGCCAGGCTGTTAGCAGGAGGAGGAAGCCCCTTCCCACTGCCAAGGGCGCTTGGGTGAACCACCCCCCGTCGCTTTGGCAAGTCCCCTCTTCCAAGGGGTCCTTAGGGAAGCCCACAGCTTCCCTGGGCTTTGGGCTGGAGGAGGGTTACAAAAACAGTTGTGCTGTGGGCTTCGAGGGGGAAATACCTGCCGGGGGCTCATCAGAAGCGCCCTCTTTTAGGAGGTTTCGTCCCTAGGACTGCGCTGTCCACTGGGGGCAGCCGTGGCTCAGCCCCCCTCCCTCTGTGCCCCTTTCTGCAGCTCTCTGCCCGAGAAACCTGCGCCTTTCCAGTACCCGCTGGGCTGGCCGCCGGCGCAGGACCTGCCGCCGTCCCTGCAGCCGCCCCCGCCGGGGGGCTGGCTCTTCCCGCCCGGCCTGCACTGGGGCTGAGGAGCCCCGGGGCCTCTCGCCGCTCCTGGGCGGGGGTTATTTTGCAGATGCTTTAATGTTAATAAAATGCTCGCCGTGCTGCAGAGCGTGTGCCCTGGTGTGTCTCTCTTCGCGGCTTCTCAGGGGCCAGTGCTGCTGGCGATGGGGAGCTGCCCTAAGCCCCGTGATCCCGCTCCCTTGCTCCGAAGGGGGGAAGTGATGCAGAGAAGTGATTCCAAGGTTTCTCTTTCTCCTGGAAACTAAGTAAAAAGGGTCAGTGCAGTCTTTCTTCCCCAGCGTGCAGCAATGCCAAGAGAGAGATGAGCTTGCTCTGCTCCACCTGAGTGTGAGGGAGATGCCAGCCCGGCGCGTGCCACCGCGGCAGCTCTCCCCACGGGGCCCCGTCCAGCAGGGCACTGGCCTGTTCCCAGCGCTGGCTCCGCTCGTCGAGTAGGAGCGAGGTCCCGGCATCCCGGCCCTGGCGCCGTCTGTCCCCTTGGTGGATCCCTCTGCATCGGACGCAGCCTGGATCCCGAGAGGCTCCTGGGGATCTCACGTGTGCCTCTGGCCCTCGAGCCCTGAGGATCCAAGGTTCCTGGCGTGGATGCTGCCCCAGCTCTTCCTCGCTCTTACCAGGAAGGAGCTCAACACCCCTCAGCAGCTTCAATATGGGGCAAAAAGCCATAAAACCTCCTGCCAGCAGGTTCCTGCACCAGCTACCTGGCAGAGCCCCAGGCCCTTTGTGGCAGCGGGGTTTAATTAAAAAAAGCCTTTTTTTTCCAGTAAAAGCCCGCGTGAGTTCGTACCAGAGAGGGGCCCCGGCCCAGCAAGCCGAGCGCTGCCCGTGGCCCCCGGCCCCCGCAGGCGCCTCTGCGGCCGGAGAACAGCCCAGCTCCTGCCAGCGCCCATCCATCACCGGCTCCTTTCACAGTGTTTCATACAGCCCCATGGCGGGAGACGTGGCAGTGCCACGTGGTCCTGCCCACGATGGCCCCTCACGCGCGGCCCGGGCCAGGGGGTGGCCGGCAGCTCGGGCTCCCCGCGGCGAAGGCGCCCGGGGCTGAGTGTCCCTGAGCGGTGCCACCTCCCCCTGCGCAGGGTCCGGGGCCCCCAGCGGCACAGGAGGCCATCGGCGCTGGCGGGAGCCCAAGTGCCTTTTGCGGAGCAGGAGCAATTTGTCAGGAAGCTTTTAGGGAAATGAGCAGCTCCTGGGGCCCTGCCAAGGCGCAGCCCCGCTGGGCTCTGCCCCATGTCCTCTGGCAGCTCTTGCAGGGAGAGCAACGGGGACAGGGACGGAGACATGGGCAGGAACAGGACTGGGGACATGTGTGGAGACAGAGATGGGCACCGCCATGGAGACAGAGATGGAGATGGGGACAGGGATAGGGATAGAGACAGGGATGGGGATAGGGACAGGGATGGGGACAGTGAGAGGGATGGGGACAGGGACAAGGATGAGGATGTGATAGGGACAGAGATAGGGAGAGAGACAGAGATGGGGATGGGGATGGGGACAGGGTTGGAGACTGCAAGAGGGATATGGATGGAGACGGGGCAGGGATGGGGATGGGACCAGGAGTGGTGATGGAGACGGGGATGTGGACAGAGATGGGAATGGGAATGGGGATGGCACAGGATCAGGAATGGGGCTGGAGCTCAGGCCAGGGCCACACAACCTGTGCCGTGCTGGTAAGGGCCAGGTAAGCAGAAATAACCTTTTTCAGCCTCAATCTTTTTCCTTTCCCGGCTGGTCAGCAACATGCAAACCCCATCCGGGCTGGGCCCCTGCTCCTGCACAGCCACCTTTGCCCCGAGATCAGCCACCGTTTCCCACACATCCTGCCCCAGCCCGCCAGCCATCAGCAGCCTCCACTGCTGCTTTAAAACTGCTTATTTATTTATTTATTTGTTGCCTATAGAGCATTTGATTAAGCCAACGCGGCCCCTCTTGGCAGTGCCGGCTGCGCCAAGTGGCCACAGCAGAGCTGGCACCTGGGGAACTGCAGCCCTGGGGCTCCCCCGCCCAAAGCTGCTCCAGAGAGTTTTGAATCAGGAGCTGAGATTTCCAAACCTGCCTGAGGAAATCTCCTCTCCCGATTCCCATTAAAATTAATCGGTGCCTTTGAAAAGCCGAGCTCGGGGGATCATATTATTCCTTTTATCTAATTTTTCTTTTATGTCATTTTATTTTTTGCCCAAATTAAATTGTCCTCCTTTTTTTAAAAAACTTTTTTTTCCTCCTTTTGTTTATTCCCTGTGTCTATAATAGACCTGGATAAAAATATATACTCATCTGCGAGGCTACGTGTTTTTCTTTGAAAACGCCACGTCTTAAAAAAAACTCCACACTTTCCATACGGAGGCGGATGAGTTTCCCTTGCGGGAGCGGAGCCACCCCCATGTTTGGAGGCAGCCGCAGTGATTTCCTCAGCCTGGAGAACTTCCCCTTTTCATTTCTCATTTGGATGCTGGGATCGATTTGTATGATAAATTAGAAGAGATTAAAAAAAAGCTGAAATTGATGATCCCCCTCACCCTCCGGTGCCACCGAGCATCTCCATTTCCTGGCAGCGGTGCCGGGCAAGTGGTGCTGCTGATTGCGGCAGGCACGGCAGGTGATGCCTCCAGCTGGGCCCCCACTTTGATCCGAGGGCAAATGGAGCCTTTCTGCAGGTCCTGCTGCCCACTGGGCTCGCAGCCGCCCTCGCCGTTTGCTGAGGGTTCTCTGCAAGGGCCCGCAGCGGGCGCTGGGCTCGTCCTGGAGCTCCTTGGTGCTGCACAACCGGCTGTCAACTCTGGCCACCCCCATTTTGGGTCTTCAGGGAGCACCTGCTTCTGCACATGGGAAGGGGCACATGGGATGAAGGAGCTGTGAAGTGGCCCTGGGGCGTCGGCATGAAGACACTCCGCTCACCGCTGGTGCTCCCAGATGGCTTTTTCCCCTTTTTAAGCTCCAGGTTTCCATCAAAGGATTCAACAACGTGATTCATCCTTTCCATTCTTCCTGGGGAGGGCACAGAATGACCAAGGTTGGAAGGGACCGCGTCCAGCCCAACCTCCCTGCTCAAGCAGGGTCCCATTGAGCATGTTACCCAAGACCATATCCAGGTGAGTTTTGAATATTTCCGAGGATGGAGACTCCATAACCTCTCTGGGCAACCTGTCCCAGTCACCCTTCCAGTAAAGATGTACTCATGCTTGGATGAAGCTTCCTGTGTTTCAGTTTGTGCCCATTGCCTCTCATCCTATTGCTGGGTACTGCTGAGAAGAGGCTAGCCCCATCCTTTCTACATCCTCCCTTCAGATATTTATACACACCTATAAAGATCCCACCTCAGTCTTCTCCAGGCTGGATAGGCCTAGAGCTCTCACCCTCTCTTCGTAGGAGAGATACTCCAGTCCCTTCATCATCTTGGAGCCTGGATTCTCTCCAGCAAAGCCTTCTACTGGGGAGCGCAACACTGGACACAATCCTCCAGATGTGGTTTCGCTGGGGCTGAGTGGAGTGGGAGGATCACTTCCTTCAACCTCTTCCTACTGCGCCTCAGGATACCATTGGCCGGCCTGGCCACAAGATCCCTTTGGTCATGGTCAACTTGTTGTCCACCAAGACTCTCAGGACCTTCTCCACAGAGCTGCATTCCAGCAGGTCAGTCCCCAGCCTGTCCTTGTGCCTGGGGTGATTCCTCCCTCAGCACAGGACCCCGCACTTGGCTTCGTTGAATGTCAAGAGGTTCCTCTCTGCCCATCTGTCCAGGTGCCAGGACACAGCCCTCTGCTATACCAGCCGCTCCACCCAGACCAGCCTTGCTCCTGTCCAGCGGCTCCATGAATGGGGAGTCAGAGCAGGTGAAAGCACCTCCAGGGGCAGCAGCCCACGAAGGAGTTATGATGGACTGACCAGCTTTATAAAACATTTGCCTTGTATGCGAAGACACCCGGCTATGGGGACACGGGAGCAGGACGACAGCAGCACATTGCACACCTTGGCCCTAGGAGGGCCTTTGGCATGGTCTTCTGTAATATCCCTGTATAAGACATTAAGCTATAAAATACTGTATAAGACAATAAGGGCTGTAAGATGGGTGGAAGAGCGCCCGGGCCACCAGCTGGTGGCTCGTGGTGTCACTCGGAAGGGCACTGGGCCTAGTGCTGCATTGGGATGTTATTTGCAACCCGGACACTACCTGCTTGTCACTGTGGGTGACACCACATTCACAGGACAGGGTGCCACACCAGGAAGCAGGGCTGCTCTGCTGAGCGAGACTGCTGGTTCCAAGTTCCAAGTTCCAAGGAAGTTCCAGAGTTCCAAGGAAGCTTCCTGGAGGCATGGAGGGCTCATGCAGGGCAATGTCCTGAGCAACAGGGTCAAAATCTTGAGCAACTGGGCAAGGTCCTGAGAAACTGGTAAAGGCCCACAGCATCTGGGCGAAGGCCTGAGCTGCTGGACAAGGTCCTGAGCAACCGGCCCTGCTCTGAGCACCCCTTTGGGCCTGGGATGCCCAGAGGCACCTGCCGATGGCCATCAGCCCGGCCTAGCCGCTTCTCCCAGACCTCAGTTCGTGCCGAAATCCAGTCACTGAGTACCCCCGGCACAGAGAGCCCGAGGGGTGCCCAACCTGCCCCCCGCACAGACCCTCCCAGCCCCAACATGGCCGCTGTTTCCAGGCTGGGCTCCGTCCAGCGCCACACGGCAGCACCGGTAGCCGCGCCGGGGAGGAGCCGCAGGAAACCAGCCTTCCCCGCGGCGCTATCGGCATGCGGCGCTTCGCGACTCCTAGCTTATTGCTTTAATCTCCTTGCTGTTGAAAATGCCTTAATTGGGGCAGTTGGAAGGGTCATGCATGTCCTCCCCTGCACCATGCCCCCCCCGTCCTCCCACAGTCCTCCCTGCCTGCTGCTCTTGCTGCCCCTTCCCCTGGTGCTGGGAATTTGCTGCTCTGACCACACCGGGCCCCTGGCAATGGCAATGGGAGCCTCCTGCATCACTGCTTTGCACGGTAAATTTTGTCCACTTTAGCGGCAATTTGGGGATTTGCTCCATAATGTGGGGGAGGGAAGGCGGGAGGAGCTGCAGCTGGGAAGCAGGTGAGGGCAGTTTGCAGAGCCGGCACAGGGTGAGGGCGCTGCGGAGCCGGCCCCGGCGCGGCAGGACGGACTGGGGCAGAGCTTGGCCTCCCATACAAGGCCACAGCACCCTTCGGTCCCCGCTACACCCAACCGGTGCCCATCATCCCTGCACCCTTCATCCCAGCTCCTTTCAGCCTTGCACCCTTCATCTCAGCTTCCTTCATCCCAGCTCCTTTCATCCTCAAAATCTTTATCTCAGCAATCTTCATCCTCAAACTCTTCATCTCAGCAACCTTCATCCCAGCAGCAGATCTCAGCCCCATCCTAGGGTTCCCCCTGTGGTGCAAAGAGCCCAAGGAGTCCTGAGCAGTTTAGAAATCCCAGTTTTATTTTGCATCATAAACAACCAAACAGGAAGAAGAGGGGACAAAAAAAAAAAAAGAAAAAAGAAAAAAAAAAAAAAAAAGGATGAGAAAAGAACCCAAATCTGAACCAATCTGGGGCCCAGTGGATGCTACATACAGGCTTGGGGTGGGGAGAGGGAAAGGGAGGGCCGGGGCATTTCTAGTGCCTCCTGGCCCTGCCCCTGGTGCTGCTGGCACCTGGGCCGGCTGGTCCCAGCGGCTCGTCTCAAAGTGCATCAAGCAGAGGTCAGCATCATCAGCCCCATTCCACAGATGGGGAAACCGAGGCACGGCGCAGGCCGGGGAGGGATGGGCAAGGGAGAGAGGTGGCGGCGAGAGGTGGAATCCAGCCCTTGGTAGCAAAGTCCATGCAAATGCTCCCGTCTCGATATCGGAAACGCCTCGCGCGCGCAGGGGGTATTGCTTCCGGCACCACGCCGGGTCGGATCATAAATATAGCGACAAGGTTAGTGTGATGTCCGGCGTTTTGCCGCCCAGCTCCAAGGGAGGGCGGCCAGGACGCGGGCTCCATGCACGGTGCATGCACTTGATTTATTTCTCAGCAGTCTTTGTGTGTGTTTTCTGTTTTTTTTTTTTGTTGTTGTTGTTGGGTTTTTTTTTTTCTCCATTAAGCACACTTTTTAAAAACTTCATTTAGCGATCTAAGCCATTCTCTCTCTTTAAGGGTTTGACTTTTGATTTTTTTTTTCCTACCCAATAGAGTATTTTCTTCAAAACTGGTTGGTTCATTTCATGTCTGGAATGTATGCTTACAGTCAGTATAGTAATACCATGGTTTAACACTGTGGCACTATTTGATTTTGGAAAACTCCTTCAATAAGATATGATTAAAAAAACCAAAGCAGATACTAATAACCATTTTTATATCTACAGCAATGATTCAAAGGCAAAACAGTTTACTGTGTTCTACCAAGCAGGTCGTACACTTCATTAATTGTAGAAGAAAGTGTCCTTGCCAGTCTTGATATTAATTTCAGGATAGTCAATACCAATTTGCCTTTATGTTAATATCTATATATGGTCTAAATTGGATCCTTTAAAAGCCTTCTTAGTGTAAGAATTATGCCTTCCTTTATCAATGAGACAGTCCAGTCCCTCTGGATTTGGTTATAACTGCTATATCTTTTCCCTATCCTTTTCCTATTGTTTTTCCAAAGAAAAGCTACACATTAATAAATTTAACAATATTAACTCCATATATGGGAAGAGATTTACAGATCTCTCCTGGATCGAGGCTTAGCCTTGCTAGGCTTCAAAATTGATTTGTTGCATTCAAATGACAACCAAGCATCAAAAGAAGGGTACCTGGCTAAACGTTCCTTTCGGAGAGCGGCGTCGCTGCTGCCAGCAGAGGCCCTGGCTCCCTCGCTCAGCTCCGGGCACAGCACAGGGGCTGGCCCTGGGCTCCCACAGCTCCCCTCCAGCCTCGGGCTCCAGCACCGGCCCTGTAGCTCCCATCCAGCCCGGGGTCCCTGCGCCAGCCCCACGGCTCTCATGCTGCTCCCAGCACTCCTGTGTGGGCCCCAGGCTCCTTCCAGCTCCGCGTTCCTGCATGGGCCTCAGGCCCCACCACCAGCTTTAGGGCTGCTATAGTGACCCCGGGGCCTCCATCCAGCCCCTGCTTCCAGATCAGCCCCAGGGCTCTCACATCAGCCCCAGGACTCCCGTCTGGCCTCGGACTCCAGTCCCAGCCCCAGGGCTCCCATCCAACTCTGGGATCCCGAGTCAGATCCAGGGTTCCTGCACCAGTCCTGGGACTCCTAGTAAGCTTCAGACTCCAGCATCAGCCCTGGGGATCCTGCACCAACCCCAGGACTCCTATGAAGGATTTAGGTTCCTATGTAGTCCTGGGCTCCTGCAATGGCCCTGGGGCTCCCATCTAGACCTGGGCCCCTGCACTGCTCCCAAGGCTCCCACATGAGCCCCAGGACTGTCCCACTGGCCCCAGGGCCCCCACACTGGTCCTGGGACTCAGGCTCCTGCTTCCACCCAGCTCTGGGCTCCCTCACTGACCCTGTGGCTCCCATCCAGGCCCGGCTCCCACACCAGCCCAGGGCCTGTCCCACTGGTCCCAGGGTCCCGCGCGGGCCACCACAAGGCGCTTGGGTCTCTCCCACCTTCCAGAAGACAGTGTCGAAGTCAGTGCCATGGAACTTCTCCGGGATGCCCGACGTGGACAGCTTGGGGCCCAGCAGCGTCACGAACTCCTCGAAGTCCACCTGGCCGTCACCTGCGCGAGGCGACTGTCACCCTCGGGGACCTGGCCTCAACGTGGGGGCACAGCAAGGGGCCGGGCGCCACAGCAGCCCTACCGTCCATGTCGAGCCGCTGGATGATGACCTCCAGCTCCACCTCGTTGGGCATGTAGCCCAGCGAGCGCATGGCCGTGCCCAGCTCCTGCTTCGAGATGAAGCCGTTGCCATCGCGGTCAAACACCTTGAAGGCCTCGCGGATTTCTGCGGGGAGGAGAGGGGCTGAGCCACTGCTGACAGCTCCAAAAGGCCACCAGAGCCTCCTAGGGCCTGGGCGGCCCCTGAGACCGACCCGCCTGAAGCTTGGCTGCAATTAGCTCTCATCCTCTCCCCTCTCCTTGCTGCTGGGTTAACTGATGGCGTGGGGGCTGCGTGTGCACGGGGTTGAGTGCGACAGGCAGTGAGCACACACGTGCAAGCAGCTGTGTGCAAGGGGCTGTGCACGTGTGTGTAATGGGCTGTATGCAACGGACTGTGCATGTGTGAGCAGCTGTGTATGTGCATGTGTGATGGGCTGCGCAAGGGGTTATGTGTGTGCAAGGAGCAATGGGCATGTGTGCACGAGGAGCAGAGCGCTCGTGTGGGAGGGAGTGTGCACACACCATGGGCTGTGAGCACGCGTGCAAGGGACTGTGAGTGTGCACGTGCTGTGGGTGGTAAGAATGTGTGAGGGGCTCCTGTGGGTCCCGGGCAGGCTGTGAGGATGCTCTGTGCATGCGTGGGAGTGCACGTGTGTGTGTAAGAACAATCTGCACACCTGAAGGGACGTGCACAATGACGGGGGACACAGACACCCCCCCAAAATGGGTTGTGCCCTGAAGCGCCCTGGGAGCAGCAGCATCCAGGGTGGGGGGTGGGGGGAACTCTCACTGCTGCAGCCCTTCAACTGAGACACCCTGCACAAGCACCGGCGAGGAGGGACGGAGGGGATAAATCGGGTGACAAATTGACTGTGCAACAGAAGCGGCGATGTTACTGCGGGAGCCTTGAGCTGAGCTGGGTCCCAGCGGCTTCGTCCCCCCGCCGCTGCAGGCTGACACAGAAGCGAGCCAGCCGCACACACATGCACTTGCACGCACATGCACGGTGCGATAGGGTGTTACACGCACACGCACACGCAGCAGGGAGCCGGCGCACCCTGACACCGGAGCTGCAGCATGCACCAGCGCGGCCATGCACGTGCCTGCGCGGCAGCGAGGCCGGGCACACCTGGGTGCGTGCGCTGCAGGGAGACTCAGAGCACACGTGCACGCACGTCCCCCGCTGCAGTGAGGCTGTGCCCGTGCACACCCGCCAGCGATGCTGTACCTCTGTGTGCGCACACACACACACACAAACACCCTCTGCAGCAGGGCTGCGCGCAGGCTCTGCGCTGCCGCCGCACACGTGCACGGGCGCTCACACACTGCAGCGAGGCTGCACGCGTGCACTCGCATGCACACACGCACAACGACGAGCGTGCCCGATGGTGATGCTGTGCATGTGCACTGTAGCAAGGCTGTGCATGCGCTTGCACACACACACACAAGCTGCAGCGAGGCTGTGGGTGAGCACGCGTGCACACAAACACTGCAGCAGGGCTATACAGCCGCTCTTACACGCACACACACTGCAGTGAGGCTGTAAATGTGTCCACACACACCCTGCTGCGAGGTTGTACGTGCACATGTGTGCGCGCGGACACTGCAGCACAGTGTGTGTGCGCTCGCACTCGCACACGCGCTGCAGCGAGGATGGACGCGTGTACACACACACCACAGCAGCCTGCACATGCACGCGCAGCCTGCAGCAAGGCCGTACACGTGCCCTGATGCGCCCGCGCAGCCTGGCCGTGTCGGTGCATGGCAGACCCCACCTGCCCTCCCACCAGGGCCTCGGCCTTCCCTGCACTGGGACTGGCCTCGGCTCCCTGCCTCAGTTTCCCCAGCGCACTCGGCCACCGACCTTGGCCTGTCCTTGGTGCCCGTCCCGGGACTCCCCGCAGCCGCCCTCGCTGGGTCCCCACGCAGAGGCCCCTCAACGGGCGGCCCCGGTGCTGCCCGGCCCCGCTCCCCGCGGCTCTGCCTCCTTCCATCCTTCCTTCCTTCCGTCCTGCCAAGCTCACTCATTCATTCATTCCCTCAACCCCAGCCCGCTCGCCTGGAGTTTCCCCTCCCCGCTGCTGCCAGATACTGCAGGAGGCTGCATAAGGGATTCCCCTCCCTTCCCCTCTCCCCCAAAATATATGTGCACCCCTCTGCTTGCGTGCACCCCCTCCCCCGAGATGGGCACCCCTCCACCCACATGCAGCCCTCCCGAAATGTGCACCCCTCTGCTTGCATGCACCTC